CTAACCTGCCTCACATTTTTACTTAGAAATTTAAGAAATAGTAAATCAGCATAAAAGGCATTAGATACTATGCCATTTTCAAACACAATGTTTTAGCAATTCTTCTCCCCTCTCAGGTCTTCAACCCTGCTCTCTCTGACGACCCCTCTATCTTCCCATCTCTCCTTTTTCATGCTCTATGTGTCTTTCGGTCTTCACACTCCTCTTTCTTTGTCACCTATCTTTAATCCTCTCTTGGTCTCCTATTTTTCAGGATTTATCTACACTTTAATCTCTCACCCCCATATTTGGAACACCTTGCTTAATATTATACTTTTCATATCTCACTAGGTTAATTTTAAAAATCCACATCTGTTCCCTTCCCAAGGTTAGATAACAAAAAAGGAAATTGAACCCCCAGTATCTCTGTAAACTGATACACAGCTCCTCATTCTTAGCGTTGGTTTCTCACCCCCGTGCCCTTGTTAGTCATTGTTTTCTGATCTATGGTGAGTTTGTGGGTAATGAAAGGGATGGTAGTTCATACGGAACAGGACTTCATGGCTTGAGAAGCAAGCAAGCCAACTGATTTGTGTAACCTCCGTTTTAGTCTATGATATGAGCCCCCAAGCCCTGAACTTCCCAATTATATATATATATAATTCCCACAGAAAAGTTTTTTTCCTAGGGGTCAATTACTTAACCTCATTAAACATCCTTAAGTCCAAGACTTTTTGAAACACTGATTGTAATGCTTTGAGCATAAGTTAGGACAGAGGTATCGATGGTTTGAGTGACAGATACAGAAAATGGAGCGATGTCTTCAAGAGGCCACACAGCTGAAGCAACAGAATTGACTAACTGTTTAGATGTAAAGGTCAAGGGGGAAGAGGAGGATCCCCAAAACTTTCTGCATTTAGTTTGCAACATGAGTGATTTGATGCAGACTTATCCTGTCCCCTATTGACACCCTGAGATTTGAGCTATTTTTCTAAACAGAAACAGATTTATCCTATATTCATTTTAAATAGTAATGTCTGTCGAAGGGATTGCAAGCTCACTGCCTAAGTTGCTTTCTTTTTCATTACACAGCATTCCAGTGTCTTTCCATCCTCCCCTCCCTCTGATGAGCAAGAGCCCCAGTCTGCCTCTCCTTCGCCCAGCTACATGTGGTCCTCCAGCGCACCACCCCGTTATTCTCCACCCTACTACCCGCCTTTTGAAAAGCCACCACCTTACAGTCCTTAAGGAGGAGCACCTGTCGGCTATTGAGATCATTGTGGCTTTTGTGTTTCTGCTTTAGTGGAAGTGTGTAGGGTACAACATCTAAAGTGTGACTCTTATGCATAAAGTTTTACAACAGCTTGCCAGGCTAGGGAAAGATAAGGATGGAGCTTATTCATTAAAAGGGAAGGGTAGGATTGGCTAGGCCAAACCCAATACTTCCAAGAAGGGAAGTAGTTCTGACACAGAAAGTTCTGGCTAGGATTTTTGTTTGCTCATGTCTGGATATTGGATATTAACAAAAAGCTGCCCATATCTTACTCTGTTCTTCTCTGAGTCTTGTGAAAATGGCTGTTGTGATCATTCAGCTCAGCTTTTGTTACTGGTACCTCCTAAGGGGAAAAGCGCAATAGTCCCTCACCTTGAGTGGTGGGAGATCAGGACTGGCTGATTCAGAAGCACTGAAATACAGAGCAAATGTGTGCTATTTTCAGTAGATCTCAGTATACAACTGACAACTTAGGAGACAGTGTTTCTATTATATGTTGCATTATTATAAAACACATTTGCTACTGGAGATACAAATCTTACAGTTGAAATTCAGAGTTTAAAAATGCTAGATTAGACTGGGTCGTGATATGAATTGTTACTTATCTTTGTGACTATTTAATCTTTGGATACTGTGCTTTCACCCCAGCAAACCGCACGATCCTGCACCCCACCCTTGAAAACTCATCTGTATTTTAATGCCACTGCTCTTATTGGTCCTTTTTCCCATTGAGATCAATTGTGACAGCATTCAATTCAAGATTATGAAAGTGTTACAATGCCACTTCAAGTCTTCAAGACCTTAAATGCAGCCAACTTGACAAATTCTTAAGTGTTCCGCATTTAAAATCCATCTGGCACACTGTGGCAGTTATACAGTTGTTTTAATTATACAGAGCTTTAAACCATCAAGCTGTTGAGTTAAAAACACTTTGGAGCCCATGCCTTCACTCCAGCATGAACACGTTCACTAGGATTTTATTTTAACCTGAGAACTGGTTTAAAGGGAGACTGATAATCCTACACTTGTATTATGTAAACGTACAGGAGATACAGAGGACTCCTAATTAGACAGTTCTGCAAACACAGAACACACACTGGAAACACTTCCAGCCCATTTCGCTGCCTCCCATCTTTGCCAGTTGGAGGTGGCAGATAAATGCTGGTGCTCCCATCTACCTTGTAGACACCTGGTTACCAAGAATCAAGGCACAACAAGTGCACTCACTGTTCACAGGAACTACTGAGTTTACCTTTCAGCACCATACTGTCCTATCCAAACTTCAAATCCAAAAGGCCACAACCCTTTTAGGCTATACAAAATTACGGTTATTTTTACAGTTCTGAACATAATAAAATTCTACTGGATTTCAAAAAAGGACTAATAATCAATTGACTTCTTGTACAAACATCACCTTGTAATACCTAACAGTATTTTGTCATTTACACTTTATCCCTTGCTTTAGTGGATGTGTAGATTTTTAAAGGCACCATTACAAAGTATATCTTCAATGATCACATTTCTTAAAGTATTAAGATTCTATGACTCATTTCTATGTATTTTTCTTACTTTACAAAATAACTTGAAACAGTATAGATTTTCTAACACTTAATTTGAGCAGCTTTTTTTTTATTACAGTGAATTATATAAAGTGCATGCTACTTTAGGAAAATTGATATTCGCCGCTTCACTATTCTGCAAAACATTTGCTGTAATGAAGGAATTTCTATTTCCAATGTATCTTGACTGCATTTTATAACATTTACTGCTTTCTTCCTAATTCTGCTTTAAAGTATTGAACTGGGCATGAAATATTAAAATATTAATTCAGAACCTGTATAAACTAGATATTGCTTAAAATCTGTATCACTGCCACGTTGGAAACCCAGACGGCTTTTGTGATGTTTCAAATTAATAAAATTATCCTTCTCCCTATGCACTTTACAGGCATTCATGGTGTGTACAAAAGTCCAGTGGCTACTCTGAAACCACTGGCAATGACAACTCACTTTTGACTATGATGGTTTGAGAAACAATGCGACAAGTCTAACCAATACACAAAACCTAATGTTAATTTCTACCATGCTGTCATCAGAAACACAGCTTTTCTCCTGCTATGAAAAAAAAACCCAGTAAAACAATAGGACAGAAAGCCTGTGTAATTCATTCACAATAATCTTGTAAAAAATGCACTCAAAAATGAGAATGAATATGCTTTATTTCACCATAACAAACTCTATGAACTAATGTCAAGTATGGTTAATGGAAAGCAGAACTTAAGTCATGATAAGGAAGATTGTACAAATATGAACATTGCAGTATTGGGGAAAATGAACAGAGGTAAGGAAGCTAGTGCTGTTGAATTTGCATATAATTTCTCAAAATACACGTACCAGGATGACGTTTAAATGCCCAGATCAGTGGTCATTTTTTTTTTTTAGTCCAATGGAACAAATTCTTCAGTGACTCTGTGAAGGATAGTGACCATCGAAATGATAACAAAATATCATAATCTTTTAAGACTGCTGAAAGTCGGTATTCTTTGAACAAATTTCCTATTTCAAATAGATTCTACCCAGAATACCTACAGGTAATTCAGCATTTGAACAAAATTGAAGCCCACTTGAAAGAAAGATAGAAAATTCAGTAGTCAGAAAGCTAAGTAAAAAACAACCAGAAAATCTTCACAGTAGGTTTTAAACAGCACCTTGCTACAAATTTCCAATCCTAAAGTGACTAGGAGTAAAGAGTTTTTATCCAAAGAAATATTCCACAAAAACTCTGAACTTTGAGCCAGGCAGTGATGGCACATGCCTTTAATCCCAGTACTAGGTAGGCAGAGGCAGGTGGACTCTACAAAACTCTGAACTTTGGTTATAAAAACATTTTAAAAATCTCAAAGACCCCAAAACACGTGTAAGAGTCTTCCTGGCAAAATTACAATTGAACTTTATAATTCTCCTCCCTGCAAACTTCAGAAGCTATGTTCAGTAGGCACAGAGTTAAGAAGTTCTTATTCAAAATTTACAGAGTACAGCAGCAGTGGCAAATAATTTTACCAATGTTATTCAGAATGGAGAGGTTTTTTATTATTCCCAGTTTATTATAATAGGCTTGTAGGGAGCTGGGCAGTGGTGGTACGTGCCTTTAACCTCAGCACTCAGGAGGGAGAGGCAGTGGCTCTCTGTGAGTTTGAGGCCAGTCTGGTCTACAGAGTGAGTTACTGGACAGCCAGGGCTGTTACACAGAGAAACCCTGTCTTAAGAAAAACAAAAAACTAAAACAACAACAAAAAACCCATAATAGGCTTGTAGGAACTAGCAAGTTTTACCACAACAAACTAATTTACCTAGCAGTTGAGACTGCAACGTCACTATCTCTCACACAGGTAGAAGTAATTGTGTCTAACTGCTGAAATTGCATTCATGAAACTGAAATTCCAACTGGGAACATTTCTTGAGCATACCTTATACTCAAAAGGCAGTAACATCAATATCTACAGAGAAAGGATATAGATACTGTGATCACAGAGATCAGAGTCTAGAGTTATAGGGTGATTTTCAGTTTTCTAAGAGTTAGTTTATGAAATGGTTTGAAGGTCTAAGCTTACCAAACAGAAAACATAAATGTACACTACTCTACTACTTGGTAAGCAGGGGCTATCCTTTTTCCTTTGTATTATTGAAAACACTGATTCTTGATACCCTCAGCTACCAGTTAAAAAACACTTAAACTTTTCTCTTTACACCTAGTTTACCACCAGAAAAATGACCTATGCATGAAAAATTATGATTAAAGCTTTAAGTTCAAAGTCAAGAAAGAGATAAAAAATACACTGTAAGGAGAATGAAAATACCTATGCTGAACTAAGAAATACATAAGCAAGGTCACAAATGACTAGTAACTATGCAACACAACCATTTTCAGTATCTATTATTTTTTCCATTGAAAAAAAATTAGGTTAAATTTTTACAGAAATGTGTTAAATCTTTTATAAATGCTAAGCTATATATCTGTTCCAACCTGCTTCCTTTTATTACTACTCTTAAGTTTTAAATTCTAAGTGTTTAAATATGTGCCATCTTTAAAGGAAGAAGGGGGATACTGTCGTCAAAATAAACAGGAACCAACATGCCTGCAGTATTCCACATGCAGTTTCTGTTATAACAGCAGTTTGCACACAGATTGGAACTTATTTTAAGGGGTTAAAAAAATCCCTAAAAGACCTTGTTGAAAGGACAATGCTAGATTGCCATCAAAACTACTTAAAATGAAAACTTCCTACTGGGGAGTCTAACGTGAGCTTTTAAAAATCTATGCCAGTAGCCTTCCACCCAAAATACATGAGTCTCATCTATGGAATCTCAGCATTTACCAGCATTACATATAAAGATGCATTCGGTGGCTTTCAGATAGTAAATTCACAACATTTCATGGGAATATTTTTTAACCATGATTAACAAAAATCTCCACATAAAAGCAGAAGATTAAAGATAAGCACAAAAGAACTTTGTATTACCTCCCCTTTGAACTACATGCATGCCTGCTAGCTCATTTTTTTTTTTTTTTTTTTTTTTTGCTCAGGGACATTTTAAAAGCATACAGCGGCCTTGTCATCAAAGTCTCTTACAGACTATGGCAAGGAAAGCAATGGTTAATCCCAATTAGCTAGAAGTAACTCGTTCTTCATAGGAGAGACCTGTTTGCATGGCTATTTTATAGTAGGAGAGAGGCAGGAGGCTGTTCTCTATTTGGACTCACAGAACAAACCACCTAGTTAGAACTTACTCTGAAATTTACCTTTTATGCTGTATACAAGACACAACACACTTAGGCTTAACATTAAGAAAATTGAAAATTCAGCTGTAAAGTGCTAGCATGGAAGTTACCCTAGTACAGTAGAACCTCTACTAGGGTATATTAGTAATCCAGTAATTGTCAAAGAACATTTACACTGCTTCAAATTCTGTTCAGAAAATGATCTCTCTGTACCTTCAAAAAGTTTCATCTTTTAGATGAGCTGAAAGCTAAACTATACAGATACTTCAGAGGGTGTTTAATCTCTACTCAAACTTTTAGAAAAAATTGCTTCTAAAAATTAACAATGCAACTTGGCTACTTGCAGATGACATGGCAGATTAAATTAACATGTTTTCACCTTAATTTGTTTCACAGGCCTTCTGAAATCCCTGCCCCTTAATCCAATGCAAACTTTCTGGTATTTCAAAGGAGTTCAGTAAGATTCTGGTATTATAAATTCAAACTCAGTACTGCCATCTGTTACATTCTGTTTAAAAATGGAATCATTTTCCTGTTGAATAAAAAAATCTTCCCAGTTCATTGGCTTGTTTTGAGGAGTAGATGTGGTCCCTACTGGAGGTTCTTTTCCAGCATCAACCTTATACCCAATAGCATCATCCTTCATGACAGGCACAGCACTTGATTTATCAGAAAGATATGCATACTGTCTGATCTGTAAAGACTTGCATGGATGTAAGCGATAAAGCTTTGAGTCCCCAGAAGGATCTTGACTATGAACTGACTTTATGTGTGATGACATAAACTGATAGTTGATGAAAGATTTGCCACATGCTAAACACTGATACCTTCGCTCCCCTGTGTGATGAATTTCATGCTTTGTGCGATATTCTGCAAGAGGAAATACCTTCTCACAGTAACGGCACTGATACTTCTTCTCCCAGGAATGAATGTTAAAATGTCTTCGCAAGCTTGTCAGGCAGACATATGACCTTTTGCATACAATGCAGATATAATAGACCCTTCCATCTACTATTAACTCATAGTGATCATCATGTTTTACTTTCATACGCTTGTTTGATGGTTCACTGCCAGATGTTTTCGGTAGCTCATTCTCAAGTTTGGCTTCCCCTCCATCAGGGTCATCTTTGACAGGGATCACTACGTCGTAAGTATCTTCACCAATATTTGCATAAACCTTGCAACCGGTTGATAAGCCTTCAATTTCAGTAGTTGTATCTAAAGTAATGATCTTCTGACCCTCCGTTAGATGCTTTGATCCTAAGCCTGGATCATTAGTGTTTCTAGTAATTACATCTGAAACTTTTAAAGAATTGGAAGGTGGCTCTTGAGGAACTACAGGAGTCTGTACCTTCTGTGTCAATGATCCATCAAAAGTGGTACTTTTGGAGATATCAGCCTGTGGGACCAAAGATGTATTACTGACTGCTGAGTCTGGACTGGAGCTAATGGTAACATCATCATCATCTATAATTTCTTCCGCTTCCACACCATTGGTCTTCTTTCCTGTTAAAACAGCATTGTTTGGTGTTGGCTGATTCTGTACAAGTAAATTGATTGGTGTCGGCTGATTCTGTACAAGTAAATTGATTGAAGAGGACATATGATTGGGAAGTGCAGAACTGACACTTGGTGGTGTAGTAAGTGGAGCCTGATTTAATAAAATAATGTTAGGAGTCAGATGTGTTGAAGCCGAAGACACCAGCAATTCTTCATTTCCTTGGGTTTGGCTAAGAGTTGCCTGATTTACAGGTGTGGGTATCTTCGGAGCAGGTGTGATGTTTGTTAAAGGTGGGGAGGTATTGCTAGCACAAGGTGTCACTTCTGAAATAGCAACAGGGGCTGGGTTAGGCTGGACCTGTGTCATTGTGTTGTTACTTGGCAAATTCTCCTTTTCAGGCAAAATCTCAGAGCAGAAAATGACATCGTCATCATCATCATCTGAATCAGTGACAATGATCTTTTTCATTTCATAATCTTCGGCAGATAATGAGAAAGACTCCGTTATAATGGGCATCACAGTAGCCCCATTATCTGGGGCTTCATCCTTGGACTTCTGTATATCAAGGTTTTTGTCACTAGAATCAGGAGGTAAGGTCTCATCAGTACCATCCTGTGCTGATATGTTTTTAACCTGTGACAGCGGGACACCAAGCTCCGCTATAAACTTCACTCCTAGTAACTGCCCTGATTTAATCAACTCGTCAAGTAAATCTGCTCTAACACGGACAATTTTAGAACTATACATATAATTCAGAATTTCTGCAAAGATCTCTGCTCTTATAAAGCTCAGTTCAACAACCTGCCCAGCGACTGAGAAGAGCTGGTGGAAGTATGTACTTGAAGCTGAAAGAATGTTCCTGTGCGCCCGGAACTTTCGGTCTTCCACAATAACAGTAACGTCACAGAAGAGTCCATGGTCACGCTGTTCATTCAAGGAGCTCAGCAGACTGCCAGAATATTGGATGTCTGTAGCAGAAATCAGTTTCCTACTCTCCATGCCTGCAAGGGAAAGGAGGAAGGGATTAGGGACGAGAAATCCACAATTACTTAATGATTTAGAATTTAAGGCACAGAAGTATTAAAGTTTATTGAAATTTGAATCAGAGTTTGCTCCAACATCTTGACTTTGAAATATGCTGTGTACATACACTAACTTTAGACCATGTGTCCAATCATATGACTTCCTCTGAGAAAAGGCAAGACAGTTTGAAATTGCTGTGCATCTAGACAATAATCCGCTTGCTCACCTCCCTTTGAAATTCATGAAAACATATTTTCACTAACCACCCTCTTAAAATTAGAATTCACTTTCTTAGCCCCAATTTTATTTTTCCTCAAGAGTTAAGAACTATTTTTTAATTTTAAGAAAAATCTTCATAAAGCATACAAATTACTTCTGAAAATGAACGGTTTAAATGCCAGAACAGTTTAGTGTGTTTCATATTAAGTCTGAAATTTAAAGTCTCTTCTTAGGAAGATCAGATTCCAAAGTTAGCCCTACAGCCAAGGACAATAACAAACACTGGCAATTTTTTACCTCACAATTTCCCATTCTTTCTCTTTACCTACCCCTTGCCAGTCTATGCCCACCCCCTTACACTCTCCAGAGGTGCAGTGTTAAACAGAGCACCAAGTGAGGTCAGGACACACTCTCATGAAGGAATAAGAAAACGGAAGGGGAAAGCATCCCATTTCTTATTGCTTACTTACATAAAAACTAGAAACATATTTTGTTGGTAAAAAAATTATGTGCCCTAGTATAAGAGCTTATTTCTCCTTAAATGAGAGCGAAAGTGAGAACAGTAACTCATTGGAACATAGGCAGTATTCCCACACAGAAGGCAGCAAGTGTCTCTGCTGGGTGACACTCCCAACACTTTCCTTTTGCATTTCAAGATGACATCGTGGAAACAGTGTGGCCAGAGTATAAAAAGCTATATTCATATATCAAAACAATTAAAAAGCACAAAACACGTGTTAAATGCAAATATAATGCATTAATCATGACTTGCTAAGAGCATTGGTAAAGAATTATTTCGTCATTAATATGCTTTCCTTTTAAAGTTGCAGAAGATATCACTGTTACAGTACTGAAGATACACACACACACAAATATAGACACGTGGCAGACAGAGAATCTGTTTTTTAAAAACTTTCCAACATCATAACTTAAAAACAAACTATAGACCAAAGCCTCAAAGTTAAGAGTTTTAAAAAACATGTTAGCGGTCCCATTTTAACAGAAGCAAGGAACTATAGGCTACCATAAAGGTATTCATTACAAAGTGTGACCTTTGGACAAGGTACCAACAATCCAAAAAAGATGATTTCGACAGAAACCACCTTCAAGTGGAGAGGTCTTTACGTACGGCCACGTGATTTTAACGTCTGCAAATACTTTTTCTCCCAATGTCGGAAAGGTTCACATGCAGGTGTCCAGGTGACACTGAGACTCGCTTTCATTTTGTTTAGGTATCCATCCTGCTTGTCAGGGTTGGCCCAGGATCGACCCAAGTGGGTCGCAAACCTTTCTCCCCAGTGATGTGCGACCTGACCTTGGAAAAGACACCCTACACCATTGTGTGACAAATCTTTGGCTGTGGGCAGGTTCAGAGGGCTGATGAAAGGTAGCAAAGAGATAAAAGCCACCCGGCAGAGAGTGAAGCAAACCAAGCGGGGCTCCCTGGAGCAGCTGAACACTATCTTTCTTTCACCACCTGCCTCTTCGTCCTTTGAACTTCGACGCAATCGAGTTTTTTAAAGGCCAATTTGCGTGCAAAGGCTAGCTTCTCGCAAATAGAGATGGAGGTGCAAACAGCAGCGCGAAGGCGGGAGGATGGGGGTGGTGGTGCTGGCGAAAGCAGAAGGCCTAGATCTGAAAGGTACGGTGTTGGGGGGTAGGGGGTCAGGCAAAGCACTAGGTATTGTTGTGTCCTGTGATGGGGACCAAAGAGGACGACGGGGCCCCGTAGTAAAGCTCGGTCTAATCAAATCAGGTGGTAGGCAGAAAAAGAGCACCCCGCCCCCACCCCCGCAGGCCGGCAGAAGGGAAAGGTGAAAGTCAAGTGGGTAGCGGTGGTGGGGTCCCCCACGCCCGGAGGCCTAGCCCAGGGTGCCGGCAGCTCCGGCTAGGGACAGACAAGGGGACCACGCCGCGCCCTCTCGGTTCTTCCCCTAGTGCTCCCGGGCCCACACAAAGAAAGAGCCTAGGGAGCCGAGCCTCCGACTCCGCAGCTTCCTGGTTCAAGTGAGGCGAACGCAAACGTAGGCGCGGCCGGGGCATGGAAGGCGCAGGGCGAGCTCCTAGTGCCCAGCCCGGCCCCCAGCCCGCTCCTCACCTGCTCCGCGCCGCTGCCGCTTTCTCCTCCTCAGGCCGAGGAAGGGTCAGAGTCCTCCCACGAGAAGAAGCCGGACTCCCGGGCGCTTGTGCTGCCTCTTTAAATGTCGCTCCAGTCTCCATCAACGTCTAAGCAACTGC